GATTTGAATTGCAAAAATTTCTAAACTTAGAAGTAGAAAATAAATAAACATAAAAACATCTTAAAAACCACGATTCTCTGGTGGTTACAAAACTAAAAACAATGAAATAAAACAAATGAAAAACTAAAAAAAACACGTTTTCTTAACGGACAAAAAAGAAAAGCATTAACTCTCACATAACATTAAAGTTATGTAGAATGTTATGTAATGTTATGTAGGAGTTAATGTTTTTCTTTTTTGTCCGTTAAGAAAACGTGTTTTTTAAAGTTTTTTTATTTGTTTTATTATAAATATTGTTATTATAACTATTATCAAATAGTAATTCATTAAACAATGATCTCACACCGACAATTTGGTAAAATTTTGTCCTGAAGTCGTAGATGCTCTCCAGTGAGACAGGGTTGCAATTCCCCATTTACCTTCATATGTTACTTAAAGCGTTCATATAAAGGTGCCGCAACGAATTGACTCGACTATCTACTACATAGATATTATATGATAACGAACATGCCTCATCGCAGCTGGTTAACTCCTTTTCTCGCTTTATTCCTTCTGCATTTATGTAGATTCGCAGAAATTCTTTTGCTCTCTCACAGATTATTTCATAACCCCAGCCACCATTATTCACATTCATAACCCCAGCCACCATTATTCACATTCATAACCCCAGCCACCATTATTCACATTCATAACCCCAGCCACCATTATTCACATTCATAACCCCAGCCACCATTATTCACATTCATAACCCCAGTCACCATTATTCACATTCATAACCCCATCCACCATTATTCACATTCATATATAATTGGCATCACTTTCGGTCGATGACATTAGGTTATTCTTTCTTTGCACTTCTTCCTTTAAAGCCTGTCAGCTGTCACTGCAATTCTAGCTTGCATTTCTTTCATCCATTATGTAGCTTCCTGTGCCCATCTGCTTTTAAACTATAATTTCCTTAGTTACTATTACCTCAACGAGCTTACCATAGATGTGCTCACCGAAGTCATACTAAAATTTTTTTTCTTCCTTATCCGTCTGCCATACAAACGGTAATAATCGCAGGAACGACAAATATTCATGATTATTTTTTACAATTGGAAAAATAAGTGCGCGAAGTCGGCTATAATACGTTCATTAAAGCTTTCAGTGGCTCTATTTTCGATTGAATTTTATTTATGTTATGATAAAAATATGACAAAATGAGGATTAAAGCTTAATTCACATGAAATATATCAACAAACGCCACTAGAATTTTTGATGGGTAGCTAATATATTTTGGTTTCCCATAACTCAAACATTTCAAACGAAGTAAATTGTTTACAATTGTCCAGTATTCTGAAAAAATAATATGTATATACACATCAATAAAAACCAATTGAGTACTTACTCTATTACTATAAAAGATCTATACGCAAATATTTCACGTCTATCGTACAACCATCATAAAAGTGAACGTATAACGCAGGACTTCTTAGTAACTTTAGTTCATGGCGACGTTTACACTGACTTATTCCCGTACGAAATTATAGAATATTGCTAAGTCTTTTTTCTATAATTTCCTGCCCTTATGAGAGAAAATTTCAGATTATGTAGCTTTGCTCCATTTGTTTTTGCAATATCTAATATATCTTCATAAAACCGCTGCCTTTATTTTGCGAATGATGTAAAGGAGGTAAATTTTTATTATAATGGTCAACATGAAGGAAATAAAGAAACCTAGATAAGCTGGCGGTTAACTTTTTTTATCTAAGCCTACATTTACTTACGACAAAAGCAGGCAACTATGAAGGAAACTTAACAACAAAAAATATATATGTTACATCGGTATTTATTAAAATCTGCCTATCACCGGCTAATCAGCAGGTCCTATAGCATCCTTGACTAATTGCGTCGCCGCGGGGGCGACATACAAAAATAGAATTTTTGCCGCATATGTCCAGCGGCATACAAGAGCAATTTCAATAATTGTGGGCGCAACCGTATCGCAATCACTGAATACACGAAAATTTCCGAACCGTAACTAGACTATTAGCAGCCAACGCTATACTCTCAAGCGATTTGTGTCGATGAAGTGACAGTGATGCGGGAAAAATTTCGCCAAGTCTAAGTTCTATTTATATTTCTTTTGGAGGTAGAGTGGCAATTAGCCGCTTTACTTAAATATTTTACTATACGCTTGCATAAACTGGCGCTGAAATGTACCTTGCCTGACGTCTATCGCCCTGCCTGACGTCTGTCGCCCTGCCGGGACGAGCACGGGACAAGCCCGAGGATTGACGTGCGCACTTGGTCAGAGGTGAGCTGTGTGACTTGTCACGGTTGAAAGCTTGTGATCGGGGGGAGCGTGCTGCTATCTGATAAATCCAGGAAGTACCTGACATCCGCAATGACTATAACTATTACTATGTAACTATAACTATTACTATGTAACTATAACTAATTTTATTTAACTATTACTATATAACTAATACTATAACTATTACCTTAAATCCATAACTGAAACGAAAGATGAAACCTCTGTCGTATTCCCTCAGCTTCCCGATCGTCGGTCTGCACGGGTGCGACAGGGACCTCTCTCGAGCGGGGTCCATATAATCTATCTCCAGTTTTCAATATTTGTGTACCAGTTTTCTGTTCCTTATTTAATATTTGTTTTTGTATTTTCAAAATATTTGATTTATGTTTTCTTGGCCCTTTGCGTTTTCGTTACATGAAATCAAAAATCTTCACATGCATTACGTTAACAGATCAAAAGGCAGGTCTCAGCAAGGATTTATATTATATTTAACGACGTTTTAAATGAATCATCATTCATTTTCAAGCTAATAGAAGCATTGAACAATGAAATTTTGGTGAACATAAGTATATAATGCATGTAAATAGGATACAACAAGGAAATTTTAAACGTAAACGTTCCTACAATAATAGGACACAAACGTTGAATAGGATAAAAATTAAAAAAAAAATTATTAGTTAGATGGCAGAATTTACTGGTTTATACACGTGCGATTGATGACCAGAGAATTCGTTGATTTAAATTATCAGGCAGTGGAACAATTCTTCAGATGACGTTAGAATGAAAGGTAAGTTTCAGGAAGTAGTTAGCAGAAGCATTAATTAAGTATTGAAATTTTGGTGGAAATAAGTACATAGTATATATAAATAAGATACAAATTTCACTGTTGTATCTTGTTTACTGATACTTGCCTGCGTGCACGGAAAGTATCTGATCGAATATTCAGCAACGTTCGATCAGCTTCTCAGCCACTCGGCACGGTGACGATTAAGGCTTCTAAATTATTATCATATACAGTTACGCGCATATTTATTGGCAACACGCTTAAAAATATTTAATTTGAGAAATAATATAATTGAAGCATTTATTGCAATTTCTGTTTTATTTTCAATTAAATTGATCAAAGAACATCTAATTACTGTGCATAAGGGATAGTAAAACGTTAGATCTTTGTTATATTTATATTTATTAGAAAAACAACAAGAGCAAAAGTAATGGCAACATTTTGAAAAAAAGCATATAAATTGTTGGCAACCCTAAATTAATAACCTCCCTTGGCAGCAATGATAGCAGACAGACGCTTCTTGTATGTTTCTACAAGGTGTTGGCATCTTTTAGTAGGAATCTTGCGCCACTCTTCCATGGCAAAAGTCTTCAATTCTTCGATGTTGCTGGGGCTTCTTTTATGAACACGCCTCATTAGTTCCCTCCATAAATTTTTAATTGGATTTAAATCTGGGCTTTGGGAAAGCCATTCCAACACTCTCAATTTCTGTGTAGCAAAATATTTCTGTGTTGATTTGCTTGTGCGCTTAGGGTCGTTATCCTGTTGATAAACAAATGCACGTCCAAGATGCAGTTTTCTTGCCGATTGCTTAACCTTATCAGTTAAAATGTGTTGATATCCTTCAGAATTCATGATGCCCTCTATCACGGAAATATTCCCAGTACCTGCAGCAGCAAAGCATCCCAACAACATGATGGACCCACCACCATGCTTCACAGTATAGGTAGAGTGTTCTTTTCCAGCAGAGCATCACCAGATTTCCTCCATACAAAGCGGTTGTCATTCACACCAAAAAGCTCAAGCTTTGTCTCGTCCGACCACAATATATTGTTGAGCTCTGCTTGAGTAGCATCGATGTGCTTCCTGGCGAACTCCAAACGCTTCTCCTTGTGAATTGGCTTCAACAGTGGCTTCATCCATGGTACACGCCCGTGAAGGCCCTCACGGTTCAGGTAGCGTCGCATTGTTGACACATCCACAGTTTTTCCAGTACTTGCGAGATGTGATTGCAATTCCTTGGAAGTGATCTTCGTGTCTTTATTTACTATTTTCATGCAGGAACGCACATCTCTTTCAGTTAATTTTCGATTACGACCGGTTCGTGCTCGATCAGCAGTGGTCCCATCATTCCTGAACTTGACAATAATATCCCTTCCGGATGAAATTGGAACATTCAGAGTTGATGATATTTTTCGATATCCGTTTCCTTTGTTGTACAGTTCAACTACACACTTCCTTATGTCCTGTGAGTATTCAGAAGTCTTCGCCATAATTGAATTCAGAAAATCTTGGAGATGTGTTTATACGACTGCTTCCAACGACTAACTGAGCAAGCGCAGACTTGGCGTATAGGTTTATAGTATGGGCACATAGTGTTTTGCAAGGAATGTCGATGTCATGTTGTTTTGTGGTTAGTTTGAGGTCTTCTATTTTGTTTGTGAGTCCATTTGTGTTTATTTGCATTATCTTGATATCAGAGGGTGTTTTTCAGAGTCTGATTGGTGGAGATAGGGGTTGTGTGGGATTGTTAGGTGTTGTGACTGGCGGGGGCAACGGAGGTTGGGGTGCAGTGGCTGGGTTCAGAACAAGTTGCAATGCTGGTGGTGGCTCTGTATCAGGCCTGGGAGGGAATGGTGGAGTGTGTCGATGACAGGTCCAAATGCTTCTCCTTGTGAATTGGCTTCAACAGTGGCTTCATCCTTGGTACACGCCCATGAAGCTTTGAAGGCCCTCACGGTTCAGGTAGTGTCGCCCTGTTGAATCATCCACAGTTTTCCAGTACTAGCCAGATGTGATTGCAATTTCTTGGAATTGATCTTCGGGTCTTTATTTACTATTTTCATGCAGGAACGCACATCTCTTTTGGTCAATTTTTATTACGACCGGTTCGTGCTCGATTAGCAGTGGTCCCATCATTCCTGAACTTGACAATAATATTCCTTACGGATGAAATTGGAACATTCAGTTGATGATATTTTTTTATATCCATTTCCTTTGTAGTGTAGTTCAACTACACACTTCCTTATGTCCTGCGAGTATCCAGAAGTTTTTTTTTTAATTTGATTTGAAGACTTTGGGTATGCAGGTAGCACACCTCCCAGCCTGAGCACAACTCAGATTTTGATCACTCCACTTCACTTGCTGATTTCACTTTCAGCACTTCCACCAACCAGTGTGGCAGTAAATAGTGAGGAGAAAAAGAAAAATAGTAATTAGACTTTGAGGAACTTCATAGCCTGGTCACCATATTGCAGCTGTGCAAATATTGAGCCAGATGACGGATGGCAGCAGTGTGTCTCCTCATTGGGGCGTCTCCACCGCCGAGAGCTGAGGAAAGATCCCACTGAAGTGAAAGGCCTTTTATTCTGGAGCGGAAATCCCTTTGTTGGTTGGAGAATTGTGTGCAGTGTAGAATGAAATGCTCAATTGTGTCCTCCACGTTGCATACTGAACAGTTACTTGAATTGGCCAAGTTGAATCTCGCCAAATGAGCATAGACACCAGCATGTCCCAGGCGCAGGCGAGACACAGCGCACTCAACTGAGCGTGGCAGCACTCCATAGTCAACAAAGGCTATTTCATGTCCCAAACTTCTTTGAAAGGTCCCCTTGCCTGTTTCTTGCACATTAGCAGCCCATTGGCGTGTCCATTCTTGTACTGTGAGAGACTTCAAGGAACGGATCCACTCCTCGAAACACAGCCGAGATCTTGCTGAGCGGTTGTTTGAGTGTGCCAAATTTGCTACTCTGTCTGCGACCTCATTTCCATGAATACCACTGTGGCCTCTGACCCAGCAAAGCACCACCCTGTCAAGTCCCTTCACCAGCATCAACTTCTGTATCTCAAAGATAATTGTGCGATACGAGTGCCCAGATGAGTTGGATAAAAGCTGCAGAGTTGACCTTGAATCTGTCAGAATCAGGATGGACTTCTCCTTCAGAGAACCATTCTCAGTGACAAGTTGCATGGCCTTGTATATAGCAAACAGCTCTGCACCGAGAACTGTGTGCTCTTGCCGGAGCAACCAGGCAGTCGCCAGCTGGGTTGAAGGAATGAAAAGTCCAGCGGAAACAGACCCATCTTCAGACTTTGAGCCATCAGTACGTGTGCCATGTATACAGCCTGAGCATAAGAGTAACCAGTGGCACGCAGCTTTTCAACTGCAATGGCTTTCACAATGAAAGGACACTCTACAGAATTTGCAGCATGGGCTCCTCTGCAGTTGGCACAGTGTTTCTCAGCTGATGTACAAACTGTGTGCTCATTAGGACCAGCACATAAGAGGCACCTTCTAGGAGAATTGCATCTCAGAAAATATTCAACCCAGAGAGTGCGGAGTGATGAAATAACGTGAATTAATTAATTTTTCACTGTAAATAATCACATAATGATAATAACATAGGATAATGAAAAACGTTAATTTACTTCTTGGCAAATTCGCGGAATTCGTTCAGCCGCGGCGTTCCATCGATCAATCGTTCGCCACTTCAGCGACTTCAGCTTTTAAGTGTTACCCATAGTATTCACTATTCAGTATTTTCGGACCGGTTGCGACTTCGTCCACGAAGTGCAGTTTTTAATGCATAGATATTCCTTATTTAGATAATAATTTGGACGCCTCCACTATCGCACTGACGAAGGGTAAGATGCTGATCAAACGTGCAATTATACGGGTGACGTCAAACGCTTGTGAGCGTTCAGATATTTGCGGAGGCGGTCAGTGCACCGTGTGCACGCACACCAGCGACACAAATGACAGTTGCGAGGCGCATGTCATTCATTATCTCCAAACACTATTTTTAATAGATTCATTAGCTATTAACACATAATTCACTCGCGTCCTATTATCAATAATGCTATTCCTACCAGAGTTGTGGTTTACCCTTTACTGCCATGCCGGCACACGCGTACTCCTATCCGTAATGCTATTCCTACCAGAGTTGTGGGTTAACCCTTTACTGCCATGCCGGCACACGCGTCCTCTTATCCATAATGATATTCCTACCAGAGTTGTGGGTTAACCCTTTACTGCCATGTCAGCACACGCGCCCTCTTATCCATAATGCTATTCCTACCAGAGTTGTGGGTTAAGCCTTTACTGCCATGCCGGCACACGCGTCCTCTTATCCATAATGCTATTCCTACCAGAGTTGTGGGTTAAGCCTTTACTGTTATTTGGATATGTGTATATTAATGCGCGAACGACTAAAGACTACAGAATGCATTATATTCTAATTTGGAAGGGATCAAAACTCTTCAGATGACGTTAACAGATCAAAGGGCAGGTCTCAGCAAGGGTTAATAATATATTTAACGACGTTTCGAATGTATCAACATTCATTTTCAAGTTGATAGAAGCATTGAAGAATGTAATTTTGGTGGACATAAGTACATAGTACATGTAGTTTTTGTTTATTAACGTTTCAAATGCAACAAACATTCATTTTCAAGTTAGAAGAAGCATTAAATATTGAAATTCTGGTGGAAATAAGTACATAATATATGTAAATAAGATACAAATTTTACTGTTGGATCTTATTGACTGATATTTGCCTGCGCGCACAAGCAAGTTTCTTGACAATCAGCTATCTTCGATCAGCTTATCAGCCCCTCGTCACGGTGACGATTAGGGCTTCCAAAATTTTAATATATTACCAAGTAATTCCTTTTTCTGTGCTTCAACGATGAAGTAGCCGCAACAAATACAAAAACACTGAACACTTCAAAAAAATTGGAGATTTTCACAACAATTTTATGTCTAACTATTTTATTTCAATATTTTGAATGTAGAAATGTGTCGTACATTTTAATCCAGTGTCGCAAGTTTTTAGGACACGACATGTATATGCCCACAGAGGTAACATGGATATACTTTATAATTTCATTACAAAAACTCATAAATACAAACAAAAAAAATTGATCGTAGTGGTATATATTATGTTTGTTGACTGTGACCTGAGAGACAATATAAATATCATATTTTGAGCATACACATTAATAAACTCAAGATATATCGAAGACACTTGATGTGTTTTTCAGAATAGACTTAAATATTATTGGATTTAAAATATTTTCCTGTTCCGTATATCAAAGTCAATATCAGGGTTATTCCATTTTCAATTACGATATTTCCGATTTCAACGTGACTGCTTCTATTTCTATTAAACATTTAATGGGTCACCTCATTTAACGCCGTTGAATACTCAATCATTCAATGGGCTTTTGATCGTTTGATTTACAAACAATAATTGTGTGGACTTCCTATACATAGATATTAATATATTTTTCATAAAGATTTCACAACCACCTTATGCATTATTCAAAGTAAATGAGATAGGTTCTCTTGCTTGAGGAAAGTTGCAAGATAAGAGAAAAATTAGTTATCTCGTGATTAGCTGGTTCGTTTCTGTGGCTTCGTGGCTCGAGTGTGATATAAAACTTTATTTTAAAGTGAGTGGAAGTTACGAGAATATATCCTAGCATAGTTTTCCCTATGAATTATTTTCTCAAGCGAAAAAAAACTATTTAAGGAGGGACTGGAATTAGCTGACACGTTAGATCTCTCGTAAATTGACAGACGGGCTGCCACTAAATTGTAAATCGACGAGTGTCAATGTCACTGTTTTAATTATGAAATCATTCATCTATTCACAATTACATTAATGACCTAATTGGTTGGAAGTATTGCGTTGCGCCTACCACTTGAAAACATATTTTCACCTGGATGATCATGACCCTGGAAGCCATGTAGCGAACTGCATAGAACATTGAACATTTCTGGTACGAAAAAATTATCATATATTTTTGTCCGTCCTGAATTTTTTTCTGTCGCTAAATAGTTATTTACGGGGAGACTGCGCTGAGTCATTATTAAGCCATTTATTATTATCATTCAAAGTAATATTTGTATATAAGTGAAACTAAATAATATGTTCCTGACGGTTGGTCACAGAAATTTGAAAATCTTGAAGACTGTGTCGCGGTTGAACCGTGAACGGACTCATAATAATTTATAATAGCGGACTCGGTCCGTTTACCATGTTCAAGCCTTCATGGGTTCTATAAATGTTAGTGTATTTTTGTGAGCAACATACTCGCTAAAAACATTGAAGACGCAGAAGGTAATAACTTTTCCAATTAACTTACTGCTTTTCAGAAATTTTTAGAAACAAAAATGAATGTCCTCTTAATTCAATGCAATCTTTATACTCGGCCAATTTGGGCACTTGTGCATTCGACCTCCGCGTTATCGTAATATTTTAGTTAGTGATGCAACTGAACTGACTCACAAGCACTAGCTTTACATCATATGTTCAGTAATAATGTATATGAGATATAGTTCATATTCTCCAAAAATCTGAATTTTAGATATAAAAGAAATAATTTGGCTAGGTAGAACTGACTGAATTTTAAACTTAGATGGCCAAATCATTATGTATAAATATGTACGGCTAATGTCCAGCAGGGGCATTACAACTTACAGGGAAAGTAAAAGTTCTTTAGATGACGTTGGTAGACCAAAGAAAGGGCAGGATTCGTAAGAAATAATATGTTAACGACGCTTCAAATGTCTTCCTTAATCGCCTCTTCTCCCAAATTATTCGTTTAGGAACGCGATGCCTCAAGCCAATGTATGCCATTGAAATAAATTCTCCATTAATTATTATTTATCAGAATATCTGATGCCTAATCAATGACGTAGTTGCTCATCGCAAGTCCATTTTTTGTGAGGTTTTCCTGAAGAAAAAAATATGAGCGAATACTCCTATTGATTGATCGATCTTCAAACTAGAATTGCCATCAAAAAGATTTTAAAATAAATATAGACAGATTGTTTGCAATGTATTCAGTACCATACACTGTTAAGTGTTGTTAGTCTTACAATCAGCAGAAAGTTTGTTATATAATATCGAAAACTCCAATAGGCTTCACGAAGGCGAAATATGAATTTATTTAACGTTCAATATTCACTTTTTACCTAAAACCTTTTCAAACGACAGAAGTTGCTTCCAAGCAAATAAATTAAGTGACCTTAAATCATCAATTCAATAAATAAGCCATCATTCCTGTGTGCTGGACTCTCATTATAATGACTCATCTGAGTATTGATTGTAATGCGCGACCGTCGTGCAGTGATAATGGTTTATTTATATATAAAATTTCTTTCGTCAGTCTAGCTTCAATTGTGGTGTCCAGATAATATTTTTGATGAGTTCAATCTAACTGGCATTATGAAAAAAAATGTGAAAATAAATGCATGATTGGCTGAAGACTGATGACATGTCTTTGATTTCTGTTTGACGCGAGAGTTGAAATGCAAACTTACTATTCATGCCGCCCCCTGGCCTACAGCTTTGATTCAAAATAATAACGTTAAAAATTAGCATATGATAAAAACGCTGTTATCAGTGAGATGATCGCTGAGTAATGGCATTGCATACATGATACCTGTGGGTGACATCTGATCCTGTTCGCTTCAGCATCTGTTCCTGTTGCTCTTTTGTATATATGCTCAGAAAATGTTACATTTATATGTTGTCCTTCAAGTCTTATTCAACCTACATAAAATGTCACTCCCCTTTGCCCCCTCCCCCCAAACATTTCCATACACTGAAACATACCACATTTAAATAAAGGTAAGATTATGCATACAGCCGATATCTCACTATATATAGTACCCATATTACCACAGTTCGCTCCAGCAGATGTTTTCTCGCACTCAATGCCTGCAAATTAGCCTCGAGTCCCCAAGTCAAGTGAAGGCATTCGTTATAGTCATCACATCCTCGAAATGAATCCTAAATGCAAGTTATTTTAAATCAACAACAGTAATGGCCAATCTGGACGACGGGGGAAGGTTGAGCGCGACCCTGGCATCTCCATCAATGGATGATGGCGGGCTCGGTGCGTGCTGATGCAGGCATGTTCTAGGATGCAGGGGTTAGTTATCCCTGCTTCGTAATCACGCAAGTTCACGACTTTCTCATATCGAAGAACATTAATAATTTGTTCGAAGCTTCCTTGAAACATTTCTTTATTAAGTCTCCAATTGCTTCACGTGAGAACGATTGCATGGACCGCCACAACACGCATGCCAGTTCCCAACCTCATCCCCCCCAAAC